TGCAAGATCTATACTCTGCAAAAAATGACTACTTCAGTAGTATGCAATTTTCACCTTGATTTTCGATGCCCTTGAAAATTGAATTATATTTCATGGAAAACATGCATAAAACTATTCATTCTTTTACCTATTCGGTAGAAAAGCACGTCTTCTTCCAATTTCATACTCAAAAGAAGTGCATAATTCGGTTTTAAAAAACTTTTCTAATTCCCGAATAATTTTGAACCGGACCTGCTGTTACACTTGCATTCAGGGTTTCAAAACTACAACCTGTATATTTTCCGTGTACGGAAAACCATGCATTTCTCTACGATGCTGAGAGGAGACCATATGAGGTTCATAAAATTAAGCAGTGGATTTGAGCAATATTGTTAACTTGACAAGCCGCATTTATAAATGCAGATACATGACGTTTCATGAACGGCCATTTAAAAGTATTAAAAATCTCACAATTAGAAACTTTTTTCAAACTGAATTAAACTCTTCTTTTGAGTATGAAATTGGAAGAAGATGTGATTTTATACCGAATAAGTAAAAGAATGAATATTTTTATCCATGTTTTCCATGAAATATAATTGCATTTTCAAGGGCATCGAAAATCAATGAGAAAATTGCATGCAGAGTATAGATCTTGGATGCAGCCGAAAATAAGTTCTTCCGAAGGCCGACACCCTGAGGTAACTGGATCATTATATATTTATGCTGCATCACGATTAGTTTTACAACACTGCTTAATGTATCTTTTCGAAACGAGAACGCATTTCGAAATTTTGGTTGACATGTCATGAGTTAGCCCATCTACTGTAAATAGATTAAACATCATAAATATTTAATATTATTCACATATGATCAAATATATTTGACGCAGATATGCGAGGACTTTTCCGATACCTGTCATTTCAAATGTATTTGCGGTCAACAAAGCTCGCCTTCAACGGAGGCAAACCGCATCAACCTCTTTGGTGTCTTCGTGGACTCATTTTAGAACCGTAATCCTAACTTTAATCCTTAGACCTGACCTTGAAAACCCAGCCCTAGACGGAACCCCAAACTTAACCTTAAAAACTTGACCTTAGACCTAACCTCAAAGCCAAAATCCTAGTCCTAACTCGAACTCCAGCCCTTAACCCTATTTTTGCCCCCAACCTTAAAACTCTAAATGTAAAGCTCTAACCCTGTTCTTAAAAACTACATATTAACTCCGACCTTAAAAACCAAACATTAACCCTGGCTTCAAAAACCAAACACTTACCCTAGTCTCAGACCTGAAACCCAAACCGTGACTTTGATATTTCAATCTCTTATCCTTACCATAACATCCTGCAACCTAAATTGACTAATCCTTAGCCTAGCCTTTACTTCTAACATCACCGTTATAACTGTTTTAACGTTACCAAAAACATACCTACCTAAATAACATAAGGAGACAAGTTTTACGACAACAACTAAGTGGGGGCACATACGATGCAGTCGCCCAACCAGCAGTTTGCGGCACGTTTTTAGTGGATATCGGAGATCATTTGGCAGAATGCTATCTGAATTCACATGTTTTAATGGAACGCTTTGATTAGTCATCAAAATGGACAGTTAGAAGGGGCTTACGTTTGGGCATCCAAGGCTGAATTTTAGTGTTTTAAAGTCTCTCAGTCTCCATACTGTTACGACCCATGAAATCCATCCTGCTGAAACCCTATGTGTGTTCACTGATTGGTTAAACTAGTGATGCTGGGTTTTAAATCATCTATTAACGCAGACCGAACACGACATTACGGGTCGTCAACCGCGCCACTGATCAACTGTAACGGGCAGATATGAAGGAGCATGGCTCTTTTGTGGTGTTAATGGTTGGTAACAGTCGAATTGAGTAGTAGGAGTGTTTGGCGCGAGCCTGTTTTGCTTTTCTTTTTCCAGTCAGAGCGAGTAAAAATCGGATTTTCCTTTCCCGGTGGCAGCCCCCAACTTTACTTGCAGCGGACAACTGTGAGGACAACGTCGTTTGAACCAACTGATCCCCCTTCTCCTGCTTGAGTGAAATTAACTCTAGTTCTCATAATCAACACCTATGGTTTCGTCACTTTCTTTATCATATGATTAAATTATTCTATTTATAATACACGAGCAGCTCATTAGGAGTGCAACAGGCCAGACACAAGTAGCTGTTTCACGGTCGTTACCGATCATTAGTACGTCATAGGCCATGTGAAGTGAGGTATATAAGCATGGCAAGTAAGCGTTTGACCCTCACTCTTGTGATAAGGATCTCACCCGATCTCATTCTGTCCTCACTTTGTTTGGCCAATGACGTACTGATGATCAGCAACGACCGTGAAACAGCTGCCCGTGTCTGGCCCATTGCACTCCTAGTGAGCTGCTTATATGTGGTATGTGTCCTATGATACGACGTCCGTTGTCGTCAGTGGATAGCTAGCGGGCGGACAGAATGGGCTCGAGTGAGATCCTAGCCACAAGAGCGAGGGTCAAACATTTACTTGACATATTCTATTTATGATGAGATGCCATGAATGAAGGATATCCCAAAAGGGTAAGACATGCAGGATCAGGATATAGCGCTTTAAGCATCCTACGAAGGTATAGGCAAGCCAGCGACCTCGGAACCCCCCTCGAGGTCGGAGTTTACGCCATTTCTGGCACAGGCAACAACAGCTACTAGGGCCTCCGATTGATGAGGTCACAGTTCGCCAACGTCGTCTTGGTGACCTGTCACTTAGGGGGCTCGTAATCGTCGGTCCTCCGTGCGTCAGTCACAGTCCCTCTCAACGCAAAGCATAGGGGAGGGATAATTGACTTCAGAGTTATTCGAAGTCCTACGACCCTCTGACTTCATGTTTCCTAATGTACAGGCGATGGGTTTGGGGTTGATCTCCGAGCATATTTGCCCTCCTAGATCAGAAAGCTCTGTCGGATGGATCTCCACTATATAACTTCCATTTTGACTCACTCGGTTGAATTTCCCATCCTTCCAGGATTGAGAGACCATAAGTCACATTTAAAGCAACTGTGAATAATTAATGACTTGAGAATTCAAAGTAACTTCTCAACAGAAAAACACAGAGATTCTAGGTGCAGCAGAAAGTCGCTGAAAACTTACAGTTTCCGTCATCTGGATTGCATTGCACGGGTATACTAGTGGAACTAGACATCCCCGTCGCCATAGAGGATCCGATATTGTTTGAATGATCTGAAGGCAAACACAGACTCCAGCTGGGTCAAGTGTGTGGATTCAGTAAGGGTTCACTTTCTAAATACATACCCATACAAAGTCAAACGGTTTATTTGGGAAGGAATCAAAATGTATTGCGTAAATATTAGATGCCGCCCTGGACAGCGGGCACACGTTTGTTTGGTGGCTATATCTGAAGAAGAAGCATGCATTGATTGACTAATTAAGTTCAGTGCTGAGCGCTAAAATCTCAAGAAAAAATTGGAGTGACAATGCGTACATATATATCAAGCGAATAAGTTCATAAATTATTCAGTACAGGACACGAATCTAAGTTTCCAGGATATGACTCGAAACTTCAATGCACGTTTGAGTCGAAGACAGTCAACTGCTGTGGAATAACCACGTAATATCTATTCTTCAAACAAGTTGTACTAAGAGTAGTATAAAATGTGGATGGCAAACGTATTATACCGTACTCCCGACATAGATACTAACTAAAAGCCTAGACACGTGTTTCGCGGATATTCTGCCGTTGTGCGACACAGCAGCGAGGGGTTTGGCTTCTCGGAGACTTAACTCCAAGTCTTGCACTGAGTAATTTCTGAAATTATTCACTTGATTATTCTCTGGAGTTCATATACCAGAAACCGCTAAAGAACGCTGGGGGTCCCACTGAAGAGCCGAACCCCTCGCAGCTGTGTCACGCAGCAGCAGAATGTCAGCAAAACATGATTCGGGGTTTTTAGTCAGTACCTATGTCGGGAGTACGGTATAATAATTTGCCATATATGTACATAACTGAAGAAGACGAGTCGAGCAGCGGAACACTTTGTTTATTGTCCTGAGCTTTCAGACTCGTACAGGAGTCCATCGTCAGAGGTAGTAGTAGCAACAGAAGAAGCGACAGTTATAAGGCATGTAGGCCCAATCATCGACCAACGGCACAAGACTGGAGGTGACTACGTAGGGCTCTCTGCGCCGGCGCCAAATCAATATCTCGATTGACCGAGTTCCCATCCGAGCCCAGGCTTCAATCGATTCTCGGCCTGCTTTGTTTCCGGCGTGGGCGACTATTTTGGTGGCTGCGAAGTTAAACTCGTGACCCGCTTTGTAGGTATGGGCGGCCAATTGTGATAATGCGTCGCCTCGTCGCACGGCCAGCTTATGTTCGTGTGTGCGCGATCCGAGCATGCGTCCTGTCTGTCCTGTGTAGTTACAAGGGCAATTTTGACACGGAATGCGATGTACTACTCCAGATTGCTCTTTAGACTTTAATCGGTCTTTGATGTTCATGACGCTATTGCGCAAGATGGCTTTGGGACGTTGTGCAATTCCAACACCTCCGCGACCAGTTTATGCAAAATGGCTATCCGAGGGCATTCATAAGTCGGTGCCTACGCTGTCGCTACCAGAGAACTCGGACGTCAACGCCACCGACGATACGGTGTTCTCTGCCATAAATCAAGGGTGTTTCAGAAGCGACCGAGCACATTGCTGCGGAGCTAGGTGAAAGACGCCTAGACGCCTATCCAAGCGGATTCGGGGAGCATTATCCTGCCTGGAAAAAGCAATGCATGAAAAGTCCATATTTAGCTCAAATGTGGCTCAGCTGGTTCATAGCGGCCGCCGAGTAGACGTCATCCATGAATTTCGAGTCATTTATAAAGTGTAAACGAGGCATTCCAAGTTCCTGCACCACCGGATACTTACGACGGCAGAGGCAGTGGCTAGACGGCTAGCCAACCCAAGCTTACGTTCATAGAAGACGTTTACACAGGCCCTCAAGCTTCCCTGGCCCAAGATGAGTCCTACTTGTTCATTGCCGCACTAAGTCACGTCGCGCTACAATGACGAAACATAAGCATAAGTCACTGTCAAATTCTTCTTTTTCCTTCTTCTTCTTCTTCTTCTTCTTCTTCTTCTTCTTCTTCTTCTTCTTCTTCTTCTCCTCCTCCTCCTCCTCTTCCCCCTCCTCCCCCTTCTCCTCCTCCTCCTCCTACTCATGCCCGACGTGTCCGAACTGTCCTCAACCCTCTCCCGTGCCTACTGCTCATTGGCTGTTTTCAACTTCCGCTGATTTACCATTCAGGCCGGGGATGAATGATCAAGGGAGTACATTCCCTGAAGCTGACTAGGAAGCATGTTGCAAGTCGCTAAATTATGCACGACCCTCTTTACTCGGTAATGAATTGTTAGTGTTTTTATAAGGTTGGAAATAAATTCGGCCCAGTCACTCCTCACTTTAACTTACCAGGCAGTAGAAGTAAAAGAATAGGCAGAAGAGATCTGGGCATCATCCGAACGGTGGTGTCCGGTCGGCGTCGACGACAACGCGTTCAGAACGCAGGCCAGGAGCTCCACAACCGAGAAGTGAAGCCGCATTGAAGTAATTGTCTGATAGGTGGCTCAAACCGGTTTGTGGCGCCTCAATTCGGCCTTTAAAGTACATTTTATCACGCGCAGACACACACACACAAACAATCGAAAGCCAACCGTCACAAGGCATTGACTAAGAAGTCATTTCCACTCATCGGGCTTTCGTAACAATTGCTTACCCCAACTCTACGGTCCCAACCAAAAAGGCTTACAAGCTTTGGGGAGAAAACATTAGCCTGGGGTCATTTTTGGATGAAGGGAGCGCGTTACTTAGAGTAAGTGAGTAGTGTGGATCGGGGTAGATTTCAATCATCCCCGGTGGGTGGTGTCAATGCCCCCGCGAGGTAGAAAGGCTTTGGGTACGCAAGGCGGACAACGAGAGGGAGCAAGGAAGGAGCCCTGGCCTTGCAGTGATCGCGGCAGCTGACGAGGCCTCTCAGCTCCATGGGGATGAACTACCACAGTCGCAATCTCGAAACAACTCGTAAACTGCAATGGCACAATTTGATAAGGAGTGGAAGCGATCGCTGAAACAAGAGCTTTATTCGCCTGACGTTTCGGATTCACGCTCGAACTCATCATCAGAGACAGTAACAGGTACAGGTGTTCAGAGTAAATTGCTGCCCACGCAACTTCGTCGACCGCTGAATGCGCAAACGAGACGAACTGCAAAATCGTACCGAGCCAACATTTTGCCGAACAGCCACGAACACCAAGAACTTTTCCGAGGCCGTCAGTCGCCTTCTCAAACTACTTGGATTTGGAGTTGCACACAGACCGGAGACAACCCTTAGACGTCAGGTGATGCGACTAAAAGACCCGCTGCCGCGACAAGAAACATATGGAATGGCTTACCGGATCTGGTGCAGTTGCGGGCAAAGCAGCTACGTCGCAGAAACTGGAAGACTGCTCCGAATGCGAATCGCCGAACACGCTGCAGCAGTGCGGAGAAAAGGCGCCAACTCTCAAGTCGCGGCCCATTTGACGAGACCCGGCCAGACATTCAATTTCGATGAGACCGAAGTGCTCGTGAGGGGTGGCAGTCGCGTGAGCCGCCAGTTACTTGAGTCATCGTTCACGGAGCTCAAGTGCGATGACGTCCCCACCCCATATTCGGTGCTGAGATTTAGTCTGGCCAGCGTGATTAGACACTGGGGGAGCGCGCAAACCGATGAGCCAGGTTGCCGGGCGATCATCACGTCAACGTCCAATATGGGGAATGACAGTTCAACAAATTACATGCCAACCATCAAGCAATTAGCTCACCAGCGGGCAACCATCCCCGATGAAGGGAAGGGCGGTTAATTGTCATAGGTATGCAGTGGCATAGCGACTGAATCCTATAAATACCGCAACCTTCTGTGCTCGAATTACCCGTATCTGTTACTGTCTCTGATGATGGGCTCGAGCGAGAATTCGGAACGTCAGGCGAATAACGTTCTTGTTCCAGCGATCGCTTCTACTTCTTGTGAGCTGGTTCCCCGAACTCGCGTCTTCGCTTGTATCGACAGCACAATTTCTCCACTAAGGGAGCTTCAAAGTGCAGTCTTTCGGAAAAATGGACCAGTTACTAGCGCCATAGTATGAACGCCGTTTTTTCCTCATCAGGTGAAATGTCGTTTTAGGATCTGCCGATTTATACCAGTAAGAGTAGCATATGTGGCCGCGTAGGCTTATCGTCCAGAATTACCGACTGTATTTATTTAAGTGGGCATTGTTCGGCACATTTTTAGTTAGGAACCAGTCACGCCTTTCAACGACTTCAGCCTCAGTCATATAACCTATCCTTGTCGTTTCGTCTTCTCCGACGTTGTTCTCTTCAATCGCAACCAAACGACCAGCTGAAGAATGAATGTACAGGACGTGGACAAGCATAGAACAGATACCGATTTTCTACGGATCCACCGGTGCCACACAAACTTCAAAAGCGAAAATCCCCACACAAACTGCACACTTTAAGATCAAGGATGGATTGTGCTCGTTAGTTGTGTGCACCAGTGAGCGGGAACGACCACTCCCATGCCTCCATCACCAGATGTCGTCGACATCGTCGATCACAAGCAACCAATCGAGCCGAATAGACAGAATCCTGATGCTCAGATTACGTCCATAATCGAACAAATCAGAAGCATGCCTGTAGGAGAGTTAATGAGGGCATGCGATCCCGGCCCTAAATCGGTCAGTAGTTGTCTCAATCTCCCTAACTTCTTCCAAGCCCAACGCAGACAGAGGGACATGGCTCAGGTCCATGATTGGCAACGACATTAGGGTCGGTGCAACTGCTCGCATAGTTTCCACGTGTCTGGCACATTCCTGATGATGGACTAGAGAATCAGCTCAAAACTGTCGATCATTCGCGAATCCCACCTTTTCTTCCTTTTCCTTAACAGAAAGCATTACTAGAGTGTCACCTTCTTGTTGATCCGCGATTATGTAAGTGGAATTTCTAGACCTATGAGCATAGTCAACTATCTCAAATTCGTGATATTTAAGGATAAACGTGGCGACTATCAAGCGTGTATACCTTAGTTCTTGTCCATTTGATCTACGTAGGCATGTTATGTTGGGTATACGCTTTGGTTTGAGCTTAAGGAAACGATTAAATTTGTTAAAAGATGCGAAGAGGCGAGTTCCAGGAAGTAGTCGCGAAGAAAGAGACACGAAACGTCAGGCTAATAAAGCCCTTGTTCCCACGATCGTGTCTCCTTCTTCGCAATCACATTTGTGGTTGGGGTTAAGTTGAAGATTTGGGTTAGAGTCATTTTTGCCTGACACTTCTTAGTCTGCATTTAAAGGGTACGAACAAAAGGAGAGTCGATTCAACGATCGGTCAGTTTTTTGCTCTATCTAGATAGTTACTCGTTCACGGAAATATCAGAGAAGATAACAACAATAACTACTTGCAGTTACGGTCATGCTACTGTTTGGCGTTCAGTAGCACATTTTACTCCAATGAGTATGGTGACCCTGGCGACTGAGTCTCATCGCCAAGGGTTGTAAAAGTAATGGCCGTTCCAAGAACTGAGTTCACACATGTGAATGTGCGCGCCTTAGCACTCGCGTGTGAGAATTGAGGTCAGCGACTCAGTGCACTTTCCTCACTGCAATGTGACACGCTTAAAGCTATCACGGTGCACTAGAAGCCGTGCCTTGGAAGGTTGCCAACTGACAGGATAACTTGCACCTCGCAGTCGGCCCAGTGTTGGTGTGTGTTTGTGTGGAGCGGCGGACTGGTGGACTGAGAGTCAGACTGCAGTGACTCCTTCTTAATGCACCCTCTATGGCACTCCCACTCCGCGGGATCCGAGCCGGGTCTGGCGGCACGCCTAGGGGCGGTTCCGGCCGCGCCAACCACCTGCGCCTCTCTCACCTCCGACCTTCTTAACTATGTTTTGGCACCAGGCCAAATTGAAGAGAGGAGATGGTGGAGTAGATGCTGCGCAAGTCTACTATCACTACAAACCGATTCACGCGCAAATCACCGCCCCTGCGCTCACCCCGCTGTGTCGAGTTTGGTGGCACGCCTAAGGGCGGCTCCAGCCGCGTAGGCTACGTGCACCCTTTCCGTCCTCCAGCCTTCTTCACTGTGACTTGACACCGGGCTCGGGCGGGTGAGGGAGGATAGAGTGCGTAGATGCTTCGCAGGCGTCCAAACAGTTATTTTTGAAAACAGGTGTCGTTTATAAAGTGGAGACGCAAAAGGTCACGCGCTACAACTGACATCGTGAATGCTTATGGCGTACAAAAAAATACGGAGTGGCTTGTTTAATTTCCTAGGAAGTTAATGCGCGAACTTGGAGTAAATCTTTCGAACCGGACCTTTTCAGGCACGATCCGAAATTTGATATGAATATTTGAGCTGAAATCCATCAGCTACTGCGGAATAACCGCTTAATATTCACAAACCGCCAACAGGCAGCCAGCAGTGAAGAACTGTGCAATGATTTGCCGTACTAACAACACAGGTATTAGCTAAACGTAGTACGGTAAATCATTGCTCAGTTCTACATTACTGGCTGCCTGTTGGCGGTTTGTGAATATTAAGCGGTTATTCCGCAGTAGCTGATGGATTTCAGCTCAAATATTCATATCAAACTTTGGATCGTGCCTGAAAAGGTCGTTTCGAAAGATTTACTCCAAGTTCGGGCATTAACTTCCTCGGAAATTAAACAAGGCAAGTTGAGACGGAGTTTATATGCCAAAAAACACACAGGAGAAGCCGGGGGACCCACTGACGAGCCGAACCCCTCGCAGCTGCGTCAGGCGGCGGCATAAGATCATTGCAAAGTGCAATACAGAGTGGCTCAAAAAAAACCAAAAACTACCGTCCAGCTAAGGGTGCGTTTTCCACAACGGCAAGGACGTGCAGTTTTCAACTCAGTGACTCAGACTGGTCAAGGAAATTATGTTCGTGGATTCTATCGGTGAACACATCATCATCCGAGACAGCAAGAGGTAACAGCAGTGGATCCCCAGGCGACGCAATATGCATAGGATGCAGTTGCTATGTCGCTCCCAAATTCAAAGTAAATGGCCGCGCATGATACGATAATCATTTGATGGCTATTTGCGGAGTTGGCACTTGTTGTGCTTTCATCGATCTCGTCAGTTATTGGCGTGATAACAGCTCGGAAATCTGGCTCACCAGCAGTGGCGCTGGAAACTGTGTTCACCTGTGCGCTGCCCGCATGGCCGTTCACCCGGCGCAGGCAAAACGTCAAAACCAGCTTAGTGGACTGACGCCGGAAAACCCTGATACAAATGAATCATGGCCCATGCGATTGTGACTCTTCAGTCACATCCTTCCGTGCTAGTTCACTCCGTAAATTCCGAACTACTCCTGGGTCGTTACGGCGTGCGTCTATCCTTTGAATGCCTATTACATTTTTAAAAGTAGGTATTTTTCTGCAGATTTCTCGGTCGGCCCTTTGTCGGCAGGATGACATTCGCTGACCTGTACCGCCCCGAGGAGCCGGTGCTGCTGAAATGGGTCGGAGAGGAGCGCCGTCTTTGTGCACCTTAGGGAGGCCATAGAATCGGGCCAAAGCAGTATCTTGGGGTCCACCATGCGTCTGTCGGTCGGTGTTATTGCACCTGGGTTCTCCAAGGCCAACAACGTAGCACTAATTTCGCGTGTCAGCGCTTTTACAGGGTTCGTTGCACATGGGACATAGAACTGTCGGTTCTCCAGTAAACCTTTGGCTTTTTGAAGGTAGTCTGTCCTGTCCAGCACAACCGTGGAGCGTCCCTTGTCCGCTGGCACGATGACCAAGTCATTGTCGTCCTTGAGTTCTCTAAGCGCATCACGTTCGACCTTGGAAAGCACTTCCCGCGGCCTGTGGGCCATTAGGAGAGACGACACTTGGTGTCAGATGAGGCTTTTGATCTTCTCCGTTGCCTCCGTCTGACTAAGGATTGATTCCACTGCTGCAATCATGTTAACAGGTTTGGCGTCAGTCGTGTTAAATGAAGTTTCGTGCCTTAAAACCTGCATCTGATCCTTCGTCGGCTCCTTTGACGACAGGTTGTGCACCAGTTTGTCGTTTCTGGGCGACGTTGGATTGGGCAGCTTTCGGAATTTGTTGTCCAGTGCTGCGTCGCGTATCATTCACTGTTCGCGGGCTTGTTCAGCTATCCTCTGCAGGAGCAGATTTGTACCGATCTCACCCATGAACTCACAGCATCTGGTCTTTTCTTGGTCAATCCTTTGACGGTACTGACGAAGTCTCGCGTGGCAATCTTGGAGGAGCACTCGGATCATCCTTCTGCCATGTTTAAAAACTGCTCGTCTCGCCAAATCTGTATTAACCGGAGGCTTGTATGAAACACATTTCGGCAAAACATTATTGTCGAGACACCTGTGCAGAAACCGGATCTGCGAATACGTGGAGGCCTCCCGAAGGGCGAAGGTTTCCCATCGCCGGGTCGATCGGAGCGCATCGCGCCCAAACACATTGCCAATAGCAAGAGGCAAGTCCAATTTAAAAATAGTTCGACCCGGAGAGCGGTCAGGTAGCAAAAGAATACTCGAAGTAATGATGGATAGAATGTACACGTCTGCCAGTAGAGGAGTATAAAATACTGGTGAATTTGTTAAACGACAATTGGGATTTTTTACCCCGCGCATATTCTCAACCCTTGCCGGGAGCTCTAACACAGATGTGTTAGCCGGAGACCTGCGTCGCGCTAATGAGGCCAACGGAGAGAGCACGGTTACGCATCGCCCACTGTCTGCCCACCTGTCCGAGAAGGCCTCCTAAAGACACCCCGCTTTGCCCTTTACCAAATTACTTTCTTCACTCCAAACAAGAGTATCAGTTGGTAGCCAATCCACTCATGAATAATTAAGATCTTATGGAAAGGCCGGAGATTGGAATTCTCCGCAATCAGGGCATGCATGTGAGTAGATATTCCCAAGACCCGCCAGTAGCTCTGGAGCCCACCTAACCTAGAATCTCGATCAAATCAGTCGTGCTTAGCCTCCGGGCGTCGAACTTGAGATTGGGCATGGTTGACGGCGTAAAAAAAGTCAGAATTCACCTACCCACTGCTCCCGTTTTTTAAGACAACACGTCCCAGGAAATAGAGGTTGGGCATAGGCAATATGGACCCTCCGGCATTACAGAGGACTTTGCCGTAAATTCCAGGGACTTATAGTCAGTGTTAGAATTAGGTCGGAGTGTTAGTGTTACGGCTATGAGGTTGAGGACCAACTAGGGTAAGTGTTAAAGTTAGGAAACGGGCATAGGTGCCTCCGGACTCAGCGTTGGGCAACTCGTGGTCAGCTGGTGACAGCTAGTCGAAAAAGGGTAATCATTAACGGTTACTAACTAACTACAAGCAGTGTAGATACGTATAAGATGGTACCGGGTTATGTGTGTGGATGTGAGGGTGGTAATCGGGAAGCTTGATGCGTGTCAAGTCTACACTTGAAGGAACTCACGCAGGAGGAGGTTACAACATCGGTAGGCAGGGCATTCCACGCTGCAACCACTCTGTTATTGAAAAAGAACTTTCGTCCATTGATTCTTGATTTGCCTGCGCGTAGTTTCAGGGGGTGACCGCGCAAAGTGGCCGTGTTTGCTTGGGTGAAATAATCAGTAGGATCTAAACAACAGGCTAGGCCGTTGATGACGCGAAATGTTAGTATAAGGTCACCAAGTAATTGCCTGTGGGAAAGGGGAAACAGGTTGAGAGTTAACAGTCTGGTTTCATAGGGCAGTGCTCCAGACCTTGTGTCATTTTGGTCGCCCGTCTCCGGACCTTCTCCAAGACGGTATAATCCTTGGCAGACCAAGGTCTACGCGCCTGTATGGCGTATTCTAGATGAGGTCGCATGAGCTACCAGCGTTTTGAATCGTAATTTGTATCCTACGGATATCCTTGCGCGGGAAAGCGACAAATGCTGTCGTCTTACGGATACTAGTATGTCTGTGAATTAGGGTTTAGTCTTGACGGAACTTTAACCTGAAATACCCCTAAATCTGCCTGCTTGTAGACCATCGGAGCGCATTCATAGTTGACTTGATCTCATCAACGACCTCACCTATAGCCTTAGTCATTCAAACATTCATTCACCTCAGATCCACTCCCGCTAAGATCCCCATTTTGGAACGAAGTAAACGAGTTTCGAGCACGTACATTGGTCTCAAAACGTGTGCTACGCCAGTATCAGCGAACCACGGCCCTCGCAGCCTGGTATGCGCTGGCAGTCCCCTGACACCTGGTTCCCTGCCGGTAGATGTGCTTGCGCTACCACTGGGTATATAGGTGATGGGCATGGTTGCCAGTCACCCGCGTCGCTCTGGCCCCTATTGGAATGTTGTTGTTGCCGGCGAAAAATCCTGGTCATTCGCTGTGTGGACCAGGGAGTGTGGAGTAGAACGCCAAGGTGCGGGCTCGACCGCGCCATCAGCCTACGCCCCCGCCCCCGGGCTTCTTGACTCTGACTTGACACCGAGTCAAGGTGTGAAGCGGGGATGCTGCGCCTGTCTACTACCGCTCTAAACTAATTAACGCGCAAGTTACCATGTCTGCTGCACCTCGCTCTGTAGCACACGGCGGACATCGTTGGCAACGACGGTCGAACTGTCATTCACTCACACTACCGCACAGACGTGGGCGGGCCTACAGCCAGCCCCGCGTTGGGGGCACCGACAGCTACAAGGCTTTTGGTGTCTTTCTCCGTCTTCTCTAAAGCATGACTTGGACGTGATAACTGTGGCGCTCAGAATGCACTCTAGACGCTACTGATGGAGAGCTCAGACCGAACTCGTATGAGACTCTTGGCGGTTTCTTAAGCCAACACTGTTTATGACCAATAATCACGCAGCGCTGGAGAAAAGCAGAAGGCCATAAATCGTAAGCGTGATTATTTTTGGTTAACAAGGTAGGGGAGAGGGGGAATGAGGCGCGCAGAGGTAGCTGTACAGGTCCGGACCCCGGAGAGGCTTCATTTCTTCAACAGGTCCTTCAGTCTGTCCACCACCTCTGGCTCCACAGCACACTCAGAATCAGAGGAGGGGAGGTTCTCGATGGCCCTGCTAAGGTCTGCTTTGAGATCAGCCCGCAGGGGAAGCTTCACCGCAGGCTTGGTGTCCGCGGCTGCGTCTGGATCAAGCAGCACGGAGCGTCGGCCAGTGAGCAGAAGGACCAGACCGCTCAGAAGAAACTCCGGTGGCGGAGCAGGCGAGGAACGAAGGGCCAGTTCCGCAATCTTGTCGGCAAGGGCACAGTCCTTGATGGCGACTGAGGAGGCAGGAATGGGGCAGGGGGCAGAATAAAGATGGTCGTCAGTCAACTTGACTCCAACTTTCAATACTGGCGTATCCAGACGTCACCGGCGAATGCCACTCATACGCTCGATATGGCCCACCACAGCCGACAGAGGGTAGGGCGTACGTAACAGAATTAGGCTGCAAACCAAAGGAATTTGCGTGCAAAATCCCCGTTTTCAAGGCCCAATACGGGCACTAGCACGAAGTCCAGACCCGTGCATGGTAAAGTAGATGTACTAACTCCTGAGATGTTAACCGGAATTCTGAAATGCGTTTTCAACCTAAAAAGATTACTTAAGTAGGGTTGTGATATTAAGTACCGTGCAGAATAATCCCATGACACGTCAGGATGCCGACTTTTGAGCGAACTATTTCCAGCCGTCTGCAAAAACTCCACTTTGAAAACATGACTGCCCAAATAGCATGCATTTTTATCACTGATTTCGATGCCTTTATAAATTCAAATGCATTTAATAAGAAACATGCATGCGCGGTGGACACCGTCGATTTCAGTCGCCCACAGCAGGCGGCCACGAAGCAAAGGAATACCTCAGAAACAAGGACTCTCACTCGCGCAACTGTTCGTCCGTCAACTCTTGACACAAGACAAAGACAAGAGAGACTGCAGTGACCATTTCTGGCTTTCTAGCCGTCGTCAGCCAGTCATACCCAACTCCAAAGTGTGGAGCACCTGAGGCTCGATTCCGCGACCTGTTGGTTAGAAGTTTGACGCCTCTAACCAGTGAGCCACGGGCTCGTTTTCCTGTCGGTTACGATCAGGTATATTAACATTGGTAGTGGAGCGCTTGCCGATCGTTTTTACGGAACTCACTCATCCCATTATGCCCCAAGTGTTCCACACTTCAGGGTTCGATGTGGTTGGCTGGCGACGGCCAATGAGTCAAAAATGGTCATTCCAGTCTCCTTTGTCTCTGTCGGTAATGCTATGCTACATGTCAGTGCTCGTTTCAGATTAGCACCCTTCGCCGGAAGTAGCAATGTGAATTTGTTCAAGTGTCTTCCCTGAGTGACAGCTCACCAACTATTGCAACTTTTTAAAATGATGTTTTTTGGGCAGATCCAAATAATTTATACTGACCCAACTGTGAAAAACGCAACGGTCACGGCGGGATTCAAACCCACGAAGGCGAGGGAAGGGCCTGAGTATGACTAACGCTCTAACCACCCAAGCTACAACGCGTCGACAGTGAGTTCTGAGTTGAATTAGCCTTCGATCAAGTTACCCGCCCAATCAACTGCGGGCTACGGAATCCCCCAATCCTGACAAGGAGACTGAATGCCTAAACAATCAATCTAGAATACACCAGATGACTACCGGGCCCACTTGACTCAAGTGTGACTAAACTCACGGTTCCCTCTGAGGGCCTCATAGCTGAGGTGGTTCGAGCGGTGGCTGTACTTAAGCCTTGTCCATGTTGTCGTGGCGTGAAGTCGCCACGCTGCACACATCAGAGTCGGACAATGAACACATCAGCCAGCCAAACAGCGATTTCAATCGCCCGCAGCAGGCGGCCACCAAGCGAAGGAATATCCCAGAAACAAGGACTCTCACTTACGCAACTGTTCGTCCGTCAACTCTTGACACATGCAGGAGAGGAAGAAGTTGGCCTTGTTGAGGAAGCGTGTGTGTTCCTGCATCAAGGCCGCCGAGGCGGTGACACGATCGAGGACCTCGAAGAGGATCTGGAAACCATGCGAGGCGACAAACTGTTGTTGGGACAGAAGGCTGGAACGAACCAGGGCTGCAAGAAGACAAATAGGGCAATTGACTGCGGGGTGAAACCGCAAAAGGCATTTCACAGAGGCAGAAGAAGGAGGAGACCCATGACGCCAGATTCTATGAGGAAAAACCCAACTTAGCTGGACGGTCGATTACTTTGCATGTCGTGTACACGTGCAGGTCTACGTCGGTCAAGTGTCCACACCTGCGCAAAACACAGGTAGGAACTGCAGCAGGTGACACACCTCATAAAACGTTAAACAGGTTAGAAAGGATTACTTTGGTGGGGTTGTAACCTCCATTATAACGCAGCATAATGCCAAGATATTTCAGTCAGGCCTGGATGTCGGCTGCCACCAAGGCATTATCACGAAGAAAGAGACCGTGGAGACCAGTAAGGATGAAGTCGGGGTAGTTTGAAGTTCCGGAGAGATGTCAGCCCTGCTCTCCTGCGATTCAGATGCAGTATATATCAGTATCAGTGTATTTCAGGGAAAGTAAGTGTGTACCTTTGAAATTCCTTTTGTTTACATGCAGAGGAAGTATATGGAGAAAATGGAAAAGAGGTAACATGAAGGAAATACAAGGGGAATAACAAAAACTGTACAGATGAACACCGAATTTCATGCGTTAACGCACTTAAAGGCATATGAACCCGATTTGTTGATGAAATACAGCAGACAGTTGAAACACACCTAAGATACAGGAAAAGAAGAAAAAATTTAGGGTAAGGTGACACCATACTAACAGCACAGGTACTAGCCAAAAGCCCATACACGCGTGTTTCGCCGATGTTTTGCCGCTGCATGGCGCAGCTGCGAGGGGTTCGGCTCGTCAGTGGGTCCCCCAGCATTCCCCGTGTGTTTTCTGGTAGATACTCCAATTTAGAAATTGTCACTTTTTTTAATTTCCTGAGAAATTTTGTGCGAAGTAGGAGTAGATCAGTATATTCAAGGTCTATTCAAGGTCTATAGGCCACTGACGAGCCGAACCCCTCGCAGCTGCGCCATGCAGCGGCAAAACATCGGCGAAACACGCGTGTATGGGCTTTTGGCTAGTACCTGTGCTGTTAGTATGGTGTCACCTTACCCTAGATTATACTACTAGCTGCCTGTAGGCAGTTAATGAATATTACGCGGTTACCCGCTGTGGCTGATGGACTTTGGCCCAAATATTCATGTATAAAATTCTCGGTCTGTGCCTATAGACCTTGAATACACTGATCTACTCCTACTTCGCACAAAATTTCTCAGGAAATTAAAAAAAAGTGACAAGAAAAATTTCTTTGGTCTGCGGGCATCATGGTAAATGCGAGCAGCGGTGCGACGTTGCTCACGGTTAATAAATTACATAAAAATACGTTACTTGACTATTGGTAGTAGCATCGTCATAACACTAAATTGTCCACACTGGCTATCAAGGTTGTTGTAGTCCGGCGTTATTGAGGTGCGCGCTCCAATGTTGATCTAGCCTCCGTTTAAAAGTGTCTACGGATCCTGACATAACAACATCCTCAGGCAAAGCATTCCAAGCTGCAGCCACTCTGTTGGAGAACTTTCGTGTATCTATCCGGGCACCAGTGACAGGCAGTTTGAGTGGATGGCCTCTCAGGTTAGTCGCAGTCGCCAACTCGAAGAAGTCTCCTGATGCGAGGCAGCAGCCCTGATTGCGCACGATACGGAGAGCTTGTATCAGGTCCCCACGCAGCTGTCCGTAACTCAAAAGAAAGAGGTCAAGATTAACTAATCGTGTTTCGTAGGGTAGTGACCATTGCCCAGATATAAGTTTCGTTGCTCGAGTATGCAGAGGTCTTCAGCCGTCCGGCGTCTCCATGTTTGGATAGCAAACCCCAGATGCGGTCTCACAAAAGTTCGAATGACCTTGGTGAAGCAGTCTTCATCAAAGGAAGAGAACGCCCCTTTGACGAGGTATAGAATGGACATCGCCGACTTGGCTACCTTTGAGCAGTGAAGCGAAGGCTTAAGCGAGGTTGTGATCCATACATCCAAGTCCTTCTGGGCGTCGACTTCTTGCAGTGGTTTGCCAGTCAGACGGTAGACCGTGCGGTTAGGAGAACTGGTTTAGCCGGCGCGTAGGAAATTACATTTGTTTACGTTGAACGGTAGAAGCCATTGCTCGAGGCGGTCTAGGTTTGTCTGCAGTCGCGCCTCATCAACTTCGTTTCGTATGGTACTCCAGGTCCTTATGTCATCAGAAAACATTGCAAAATCGCAATCCAGTTCGTTTGTGCAGTCGTTGACGTATACGAAGAACGGTGTAGGGCCAAGAACAGAGCCTAGGGGAACACCACTCCTAACGGCAACCTCGGCAGATTGCTGGTCACTGAGGTGGACGGCTAGAGAGCGGCCGAGTAAAAAGCTACGAAGCGTACCTCGCACTCCTATACGGCTGAGTTTGTATAGAACGTGGTGGTGAGGCACACTGCCGAAGGCCTTTTGAAAGTCGATATAGATGGTATGCACCATATCTCCTCTATCAACAGCCCGAGTCCGGTGTTCCAGACAGTAGAGCAAGTTTGTCACACAGGATCTGTCTTTTCGGAATCCATGCTGGGAACCGGAAAGCAAATGGTTTTGTTCAAGGAACTGCATTAATTTTTGCTTCATTATTTTCTCCAAAATCTTGCAGCAAATGGAGGTTAGACTGACAGGTCTGTAATTGTTCGCAGAGACCGACTTCCGCCCTTGTACAGCGGCGTAATCCACGCCGACTTCCAGTCGGGTGGCAGATATCCGGTCTCGAAGGATGTATGGAAAAGGTTAACTTACTATGCAACATAACAGTGGTAAAACACGGATAGCAGGTATTTTAACTGCAGACTATTTAAAGCAAACGCACCTGAGATGCCCGCAAAAATTCCCCTGAGATTGTCTTTATCTTCTTGCCGCGAAAAGAGCTTCAGGGAGATCTCCAGTAGGCCATTGTTGACCGCAATCTTCTGAGCTTCCTCGTTGTTCTGAACGATGTTTGCCAGGAGATTTCCAGTCTGACAGTTCAGAGGGCTCGGCGGTTGATCAAAAAGGGTGACAAGAAGCTCGAGGCCGCCAATCTTCAGAAAGATATCGGCCAGATTCACGTCTTCGGTTAAATCAATCAGATTGTCGACTGCCTCGGTGATCTTTGCCCGGGCACCTTCATCGGTCTGATGAAGGTTCTCGATAATAATGGCGATACTTTTGCGCATCTCGTCAACAAGGTCAACCGTCATGTTTTCCAGGGCTTCACGCAGCCACCTTGCCGTCTGTTGGGAAAGAAAACAAAAAACTCGGTGCTACTCAAGTAGTGTGAGTAATGTGTTTACTGAATTATTGGGTACGTACGTCTGGTTGCCCAACGGAATACGCTAAAACAGGTTTATTTTAAAGATATCACCTGCTGGCCGCAAAACATATCGAATATTTGGTTGCAAAATGGGCGAGTAGGTAGGTACCTCGGGATCCATTGGTTGGGCGCTGGTCGAGAAGTCATCACCAGCCCTCATGCAGAAATTGAATAGGCCCCGAAGATTGCGCGGCACACGTTCCATCGGAGGTAGGCTACATGTGGCCAAAGGTTCAACGATAAGAGGTTTTGGAAAGACACTTTGGGCAAGCCTAACCAAACCGATTCGAAAGAACATTATAAAAGGCCTGTTAACAAAAATTGATTGTAACTTTGCATTTAGTATAGATACTCAGAACGGCGAAAGCAAAAGATCAGTCACAGTCAAGATGATTGCTTTCTGTGATCAGCAGGAAGACAGCTAATGAAAGTAACAAACAAGTTGTAGCATTTACGTCGAAAATGCTATTAAGACAAAATGATCGGAAAGGAACTCGGCGGAATCTGAGATTCCCGACGGCGTAATCTGAATATAGGGAGAATTCCTCGACCAACATGACAGAGAGTGGGATAAAGAAACTCGATCACACCGGCAGCGAGGATGTCCTTATCTGCCTTCGGTAGCTTTAATACATGCCCCCTTATTAAAACAAAACAAACTTGAAGGCAGAGGCCTCAGCGCGAAACGTGAGGGAAGGTACTCCATGAGAACGACTGTAGTGCGGAAAGTCGGTCACAAACTGCACTACTTAGGGAACCGCAGCAACACAGCATCTCCAAGACACTGTCGATGAATACTTTTTCAGAACTTGGAAAATAATCTCCAATGAACTTACTTTTCTATGCCTGGTTCGCGGAAAACCAATACGTTTTTATTATACTCAAACTAATTAACCGCATTTTTGGGTAAAAATCAAATCTTATAGATCGAAAGGACTGACTTCTGCTGAATGATTGGTCGGGCAGTACCACTGTTGCGACTTAGATAATGAGCATGTCGTGGCCACCAGAATTTCAGAGCCCAGCCGGAGAGCTTACTTTGCGAAGACGACCGGATGCTGAGGAGAATGAAACGTTTGACAAATGACCTCCCACTAACAGGGAGGTCTCGAGAGCCCTAATGGCAGGCTAGCTCGCATCGAGCTCTGAGCGAACTCGGATCCATGATCACACCAGGCCGGAAATAGAGCTCCTTTTGCTATTATGGAGGGATCGAGTCTGTGAAAACAAATTTCCAAGAGGCGCTTGTAGAGAAAAAACGACGATTGATTCCTTTCTTGCAAATAGTACCAATGGCGTGTGACCAAACAGGTAGCGGTGTAGTGTCTCCTGGCCTGAATTTGAACAAAAACTGGGGAGACGGAGTCCCGAAAGCAGGCGGGTTTGCCTGTTGGCATAGCTGCTAGTTACCCGGCACGAACACTGTTTGCAAGCGGTGGAATGATCTTCAGTGAGGTCAGCAATGAAAAGAGCAACTGTAAGTAAGCAACTGTGGACCAGCGGAAGCGGAAGATCAGGAGCTCGAGCTGTGACAAGGCGAATATGAACCGCCTAAAATATATTCCCTTTGCTAACGCCGTCTCGTGTGATGAGTATTTGTCAGAAAGTTAAGTCCAGGATAAAGGAACGCAAATCTCCTCAAGTACATGACGCTTCGTGAAATTCAAATTTCCTTGAGTCGAATCTTGATTCGCGTTACAGCATGTATGTTTTTGGCTGCCTCCTTCCGTTTCTTCGTACTGAAACAGACGATAAATGTCTGTGTGGAGGTTTGGTAAAACAAAAACTGGTTCAAACTTGAGTAAACTATCCAGGATAGATTGAAGAATGTGTGAGGATGCAACATGTGTCGTCACAAACTGCATTTATGTGGAAGCCACCAGACTGCTTGACTGTGCAGAGGTACGCCCCATTTGAGAACGTTGAGTAGTTGCAATGCGTGTTTCCAATGGTACGACCATACATGAGTACCCAGTAATACTGCCCAGAATCTCCAGAATGATCCAGGTAAAACCGATATCAGGAGATTACGACCGATTTTTAAGGTGAAACAGTCCTACAGCCTGTCTTCGTTGACAGTCAGGGAAAACGTAGATGAACCGATAACGTCACACGCAGTCAGAACATTGATCGACGGAGTATGGGACCGACTTCGAAACCAGACAGGACCGTCTTCTCCGCCACTGTCCAGTTTGATGAGGTCAAAAAACCCCTATTGCAACCCATCACCTAGTAAGATCCGTGGATGGTAGGGAAACTGAAGAATTAACGGTGCCGTTCAGTATAAATTTTTATATAGTCTCTGACAATATAAACTGAAGAAAGTTGTGGAAATAGAGACAGTAATCACAGATTCCAGAGCGTTGTACTAAGTGAAGCCGTTGGGCCAGACAGCAGATCATGCTTCAAAGACTATTGTTGCGAAATCCTTCGTAAAGTTCCTGCTAAGGTTTTAGCAGTCGTCTTCCTCAATCGCTTCCGCTTATACAGTAAGGCACAGACATGAAAGGATCAGAGAGAACTTCACCTGCAACCATCCGCACTTCCGTCAAAAAGGTTAATAACGCACTTGACACCTGTGTTTCGCTTCCATCTCTTTCATGGAATGCCCCTGCGGCATGTTACGGAAGACACTTACAGCTCACCCCATTGTGCTTTGGAACTCGGTCTAGAGCCCCATCGACAGACACACAGCGGCCAGAATTAGATTATCGACAAAGACACGGAGGGGACTGAGATTATCATTCCTAACTTAGTAGCCGTCGCCAGCCAACCAGCCACCCTTACTCTACCCCAGTTTTTGCGGCCCGTGACGAACGAACCCGGGTTCTTTTGGTTATTCGGCGTTTTTAAATTCAACGCTCTAACCGCTGAGCCATGGATTCGTTGTTCTGTCGGCTGCAATCGAGAATATTAACTGTAAAAAACAAATTATTAAAAATCTGCCGAAACACTTATTACGTGTTAACTGTTGGAAGAACGTTGACCGATCGGTTTACGGGACAATCTCGTCTTATTGTGCTTCAAGACCCTATCTAGAGCCAAAGTCGAGCGCTGGCGTGAGCACTTTGAGCACCATCTCAACTTCGATACCCAACCTACCTCGTCCTTGCTCTCCTCTTCAGCGGAGTTTCTTCCCTCTCTTTAACCTATGCAGTGCCATGCGACCCCCCCCCTCTCTGAAGGAGAAGTCGTCGATGCCATACGAAAGTTCCGCAACAATAAGGCACCCGGAGAGGACGGTATACCAGCTGAAATCTTCAAGTCTTGTGCGGACACCCTGGCGTCCTGGCTCCATCCTGGCATTCTTGTACTACCCTCAAGAAGGCAGATAAGACGAGATGCGAGAACTGTTGGAAGAACGTTCACCTATCGGGTTACGGGATAATCTCGACTCGTTGTGCTTTAAGACTCTATCTAGAGCCCCGCAGGAAACTGCATTGTGGCCGATAGCACAGACGGAATGAGATAACCGGCAAAGACGAGAGAGGGAGAAGGATGACCATTTCTGATTAACCTTACCTAACCTCAGTTTTGGGGCACGTAAATGTCGAGGCCGCGTCCTTTTGGTTATTGAGCACTAGTAAGATACTAAGATTTGTTCAAACCTACTGCCAACGGATAAGGACTAAAGTCCGCGCTAATTACGAAGAGTAGGGTCTTTTTAACGTCACTCCAAGCTTCTGTCAAAGCTGGGTTTTCGGATCCACTTTATTCAACCTCGTTGAAAGGCAGGCCCTTTACAAGCACAGGCTGACAACTTCAGTGGTACGATAGGTCCTGGTTTCCGTACTTCAGATCTTAACAACGCTGAGGATATTGCGATATCAGCTAGCCCCTTGAATAAAAGCAGTGTTTAATACTAAACAGCTTAAGTGCGTCTAAAAATCAACAAATGAAATTCATACCCTGGGTTTAGCGGTCGGAAATACCTGTCCGGTGGCGGTGGACTGAACGTAATGCCGAAGGAACTAACTAAACGCTTGACCGACTATCATATCAACCACACGCATGGCACGTTTGCCAACCCCGTAGAAACCTATGGAATCGGTAAAAAGATAAAAGGACGTCTATCTGACGCTGTCGGCAGCGCAATATTTCAATAGTGATGCGAGATGTGGTTCGAGCGCTCAAAATATGCTAATGGTCCCCGAGTAATCAATCAGCAGTGTTTAGGCTTCATCCCCCAAACCGTCTCTCTGACAGCACCTGCAATTAAAAGCCAAACTGTTAGTTAGTCATCCAAGTCACTGGTCGCTACAACATACAGTCAAAAAGTTTTCAACGAAGACAAGGAGACATTTCGTGACTATCGGAGCCATGGAAGAAATAATATCAGGGCCAAAACAAATAAAACTAAATCGAAATAGCTGCGGACATTCGAAGTTCCTCGGCTATCTAGGAGACAAATGTCAGTCGAGTGACATGTTCATGCCTAGGTAGCGGTTTTTGAGCACCGTGAAGGTGACTTAGGCTTACCTGAAGACTAGAAAGGGATGTGCAAAAAGAGTGAAATAAGGATAATAATAAAATAAACGGGATGTGGACAGATGGGGGAAGGAAAGAAGAGTAATGCTGAGGGAGCAACAATATCCCAAAATGACCGAGACTTGAGTGGGCAGAAAGTTAGTACAATGCAGGGTCGAAGTAACCTACATAGTGCAGGCATCTATAGACGGACACATGGACAAACAGTCTGTCCTGATCGCAAACCGGAAAATTCAAGATTTACGGTGAACCTAGAGGCTTCTGAGCGACTCATGTACATTCACACCGGACCAAGTACACAGCCTAACTGTAACATTTATAGGCTCGGCTGGGTTGCCATCACACAATACGAACTAAAAAAATGTAGGAGGCAATACTACCCTGTTGTTTCACTGAGCGATATGAATTTTGATTCTCGATCAGTCTCTAGCTGAACCGAAGGGAGTGTGGAGCCGGAGGCCGCTACAGGGGGTGGGATGCGGCCTCCGATAGTAGGTCCTGAAAGTAGAGACAACACCCGGTCCGTCCTATCTTTTCTTCGACCGGAACAAAACACTTTCGTAAAACGGGAAAAACAGATCAGTTCGCTTCCGCCACATCACACTCCCCTCCCCTCCCCTTAGGAGGGGGGGGTCCCGAAGGACGCGTGGTAGAGTCCTGTATGATAATTTCGTTGGAGGGTTATGGGACTACTTGGTTGGGAAGAATTCGTAGGTT